GAAACTACTTTACACGAGGTTGCCACGAGTTGGACAGCAGAGAAGACTGGATGTTACAGGCAAAGATTTGTGGGCTGCGGGCAATGCTGGGTATGCGAGGGTGCCGCAGAGAGTCCAAGACGCGACAAGAAACAAGGCAGCACGTGGGCTGGAAGGTCGCTCATCCACCCCGGATACTGCAAGCGGTAGACCGAGTATTCAGGGTCCTGAGATGGTACAGGCGGGTGGGTGAGATGCTTTGCAGGTACAGTAGCTACCTAGGGAGACACCTAGGCACCTAACCAGCACCCCCTTAAAAATGATTGCCTTTCATGAGTGCCCATGTACAGTGATGGTACCTACCTATGCTTCACATATAAGCACCACAAGTGCCTAGGAAAGTTGCGCAAGCACTCGTAGTGGTGGTGGGGGACCACCGCCCTTCGTCCGGGTAATACCTAGTAACAATAAAAATAAGGTCCTTAGTCGATCCCCTTCAGGGGACCGGGACCCCCCATCTCCCCATCTGCCCATCTGGTGGGCGCCCATTTGTCGTTCCTCGTTCCTTGCTCCTTGTCCTCCACGTTTCTCTTTGTCAGACAGATTCTGCAGTGACCACCAGTCTTACGGTATTGGCCACTTCGGTGCCACTCGCACACGCTGTACACGAGGCAACAACATGCTCTTTTCCTTCTCGTTTCCCAACCAGTGCAGTCACGCATCAGCCCCCTAGATGGAAGGATTATAGTGTACAGAGGGTATAGCAGGAGACCAGAGCGTGTGATGTTGATCAGATCAATGGCCTGGTCAACTGGTTAAATATCACGCCCACAGCAAATACCCAAAGCAACCTAGTCGCGCATCCAAAAGGGAAGAGACGACGAGGAGAAAGCCGGGGCGCCACCCAAGCACCTAAGCACCCAAGCACCAAGCACCCAAGCAAGTGACCCAAGCACCCAAAAGCACCCAAGCAACACCAACGCACCCCAATTCCAATTGATAGCCCCGATCTAGTCAAAGAACGTCTCTACCATGTCGACTCGGAATCGACCACCACGTACCTGATTTGATGGTTTGAATCCAGTATCGCATGCCAAAATGGTCAGAGTGGATTGCAACCACCATGGCTTTGGATTGGATTGGGCCTGCCATCTCCATCGACATCTCCATCTCCACGTTCAACTCTCTCTCTAACTCTTCTGCCACGGACTCTTTCTTGCCTCTTGAAACTTGATTTCGGCTGTGGCCTTTGGCTCAACTTTCTGTCCTTGTTTGTCATTGGGAGAGATATCGGGCACACGGATTACGAGGCCATCGACAAAGCATCTCATCTTTATTATTCTACCCCCGGCTCCCGACTGCAGAAGATACAACCCCCCTGTCCTGGGCCGCGCCCACCTGCGCTTTCTTACTCTCGGAGCCCTTTGACACAGCGTGAATCGTCCCTCCTCCTATCCTCTGGGGTCAACAACCTCACCCTCACTTTGGCCCTGTCTTTTCCCGCCGCAACCTCCGGCCTGCGCAAAGTCGCTATCCCAGCCAGCTTGAGCTGATCTAGTTGACTATCGTCGACTTCCTCTGCAGTCGACCGCGGCTAGATCAAATCCCTCCTCTGCCATCTCCCGCCCACCGCTCCCCTGTGCGACAACTGATCCCGCGAACTCAACATATCCAACGCCGTCCTCCCGCTGCCTTTCTCCTGGCACACTGCATGCCCTCGATCTGGCTCCACAACATCTCCTGCTCCACGTTGTTCTGAACAGGACCTCGAACCCTGCGGAGGCTTCCACAGACACCAGTTCAGGCGCACCTCGATCTGATCGGACCTTCTCGTAAAGAGTCTGGCGGTTGGGGAAGGAACAAGATCTCTCGAATTTAGAAGGACAGTATCCCGATTTGTCAAGCCGGTATCAAGCGATCTTCTGTTGACTCCACGTTGCAAAGCGCGGCGACACCGCCCCAGTCGCTCCATCGCAGGGCTCGTTTTGCGCTGGGTCGTCGCATCTTTCCTGCAGAGTACTGTACCACTTACTGCTGTCGTGTCAGCGTCCCTGGATCCTCACCTTTCACCGCGGCGCACCTGACGTTTCATTTGTCTGATTCGACGGGCCAATAAATTTCGGAATCAAGAGCGATTCGAGCGACGAGTCAGGGACTTTCCAACCGTGTTTGAGCGCTATATGCGCGACTGGGTAGTCTCTGCTCGCTATCTGAGCTGATCATATTCGATAAACCTCAACGGATTTGGCAACATGGAAACCACGAGCCACCGTCCCTGGGAGTCGAATCCCCCTCCCAGCCTTCCCCAGACACTCCCTTCGATAGCTTCTTTGACTTCGAAGCTCCCAGCCCAGCCGCTAGACAGAGCCCCGTCAGATCTTTCGATTCATCCGCCCCAAAGGGATTCAGGAAGCTGGATGACTCCGGGCACCCGTCAGTGTTCCGGTTCTTGCCAAATGCCAGATGTCTTGCTAACCCTCTGCTCATAGTGTCGGGATCTTCGACGAACTCCATGCCATACCTAAACTCTGCCCACTCCCCGACCGGCGCGGGGCCTTCACCTTACACTCCAGACAACCCTTCAGCGCCTCCAGCTCCCTTCAACGGTGTCTTGCATCAGCAACCCAACGGACTGCCAGCCCCCACCTCAGATCCAAACTCCAATCCAAATAGAGGCAGCGGCGACTTTGATGACTCGCGGAGGAGCAGTGTTGCTTCCAACAGCATACACACGGGCATGACCAACCTTGGGCTCGGGCCCACATCTCCATATACAAGCACCAATGCCTCTCAAACATCTCTCGTCTCGGGTCTTCAAAGGGAACGAGGTATCCAGACTAATGGATATGCGGGAGGAGGCGGCCGATACTCAACGATGAGTGGACCAATCACATCCTTTGGGTCCAATCGCGGTGGAAGAGGTGGTTTTGCCGCAGGACGAGTGGCGCCTCCGATTTTAGAGAATCCTAAACAGGAGGTCTACAGCGCAGAGGCACCCACGCGAGGCCAGGCGTATGCGTTTCCCGATCCTGACGCCCCCCGGCCACAAGGGAGAACTCCTTCAACATACTCGCGCAGAAACAGCTTTGCCGACTCATTCTCTAGCAGTATTCTGACGGTAGAATCCAACAGATTACCACCAGGCCAGCAAGGTAAGTATTCCTGACGACCGTGACACCCATGAAAACTGACAACTGCTAGAACTTCCCGAAACTCACCATCACAGTCTGCAGCACAAACAGTTAGACAGTCTTCGAGTTGACCCAGATTCTCCTAATGGGACCACTCCGTACAGTCGCACACCAGAACTTCGGGTAACTCACAAGCTAGCCGAACGCAAGAGACGGAGTGAAATGAAGGATTGTTTTGAACAGCTGAGAAGTCGGCTACCAGCGAGTCAAAATAACAAATCAAGCAAATGGGAAACGTTGTCAAGAGGTGAGCAGATATCGCAATGTGGGCCAGGACAGGATGCTGATCTTCTGTAGCCATTGACTATATTGCGCAGCTTGAAAGCCAGAATAAGCAAGCTCGAGCCGAATTTGAAAGCCAGCGAATGAAGATGGCTGAATTAGAAGCCAAGATGCACGAAATGAGTCGACAAATGCAGGGTATACAGCAACCCCAGGGCTCTTTCCCGCCACCACCGAATGTGATGCCACAAAGCCCCCTTGGATACGGGCCTCACTTCAACAACCATATCGATGGCTCCAATGAGCCAGCACGGACACTCCCGCCGATAATGAATAGCAACTCGATGCAAGGTATACAATATGACGACCGGCGGTAGTGCTATCTCCCGTGGGACTGTGTTCCCCATGTTCGGCTATTTTTTTGGGTATACTTTCTTTGGCATTTTGAAATCTTCTGTGCATTACAATGGAATTGCGGAGCTTTCAGTTAAAAGCCTCAGGTATTCAAAGAAGAGGCACGACTTCTCGGCTCCGAGGGGTAGGATCAATCAATTGATTCATGATACCATGGTCAACGGGATATGCTTTTGGGGACCGGAGCAAAATCATTGGGGCTGGACAGTTGGCGGGCCCATTTGGTCGCATCGATAGGGTCGCGACAGCTATTCGAGGTCGAAGCTGGAGGCTGCTTTTCGACTGTTAGATAAGTGGGACTGTCTTCAGACTACTGCCGACATGGTCTCTGTATATGAATGCTGGAAAACATACTCGGTGAAGCTACCCAAGACTCCAAGAGCGTCTGAGTCGCAGCCCTGCGCAGCCTTGTGAAACATTTAGGGCCTTATGTAATCCCCAATGAGCAGCTCTAATTGGCTGCCGATGCTCTTCCATCTGGTAAAACATTGACCGCGCGCGTAATTTTGTCGTCGTCTTCCTCTCATCCAATAGTCATCTGCCTTCCAACCTGGAGCAATCATCTCTGAAGAGTGGCCTAGCCGCCAGGCCAGGAGCTGTGCGACACATTCATTCTCCTTCGACATCTATGTTTGGGACATTCCGTGCGCCGCAAGCTCGGATCCAAGGAAACGTGTTGCAGCCCATAGCCTCAGACAAACAATGGGGCCAGGCAGGTCGTGGAGGAACCTCGTCTGAGAATAACCCACGCCGAACGTGGATCGGCCTTTGCGATTGTAAATATTGTTGTCTTGGTACCTATCAATCCTTTTCTGCTGGACCGATCTCCACCTTTAATCAGGTCAATTAATGATGCCACAGGGAACCTTCCTTTCTTCTTCACGCCACTCTCAAATTTCCTATTGTTATTTCTTTCTTGTTCTGTTTCTTGAATACAATAATCTCTGCTGATCCCGTTAACGGTGTTTGTTCATTTCACAAAGCAGAATTCGTTGGCTTGAAACGGTCTCACCATTTCATTCATCGAGGACGAATTGGATTGACTCGAATCATTGGCAATGAATAGAAGGCTCCAGTGACAGGCCTGAGAACCCCCCTCGACCCTGGCCCGTATTAAAGGAGCAACGCCATATTTTGTCACTATTTGTACCTCAACACGCAGTCAACTTGTGGAAATATTTTACACTGTCAATAATGGTTAGCGGGTTCAAGCAACCCCGTAGTCAGGCGGAAACTCTTCAGAGGACGGATTTGGAGTATCGTCAACCCAACAACACGGTTCCGCCATTCCCCTTGTCGTCCCCTCAGCAAGAGACTCTTACGACGTTCAAACCCGTCAATGGCAGCATCACATTGGCACCAAATGATACCTTCTTTTCACCCAATCCTTTCGCTTCCTGCATTTCCGATGATGACACCGGATCTTCCAGTGGACAGGATGAATTTCATCTGGAGAGATACAGTCAAGAAACAGCCCGGAATGAGCAATCTTCACGACCAAGTCGCAGGCAATCCGGTCGACGGAAGCGGGCGCAGCGGCCGATCCGATCCCGACCTGACAAGAAATGTCGACCGGGGCTGAACATTGTCACAGACTTCTCGGCGCAGGCAAAAAGGGCTCAGACCGACGGACTTATCATTGAGCAAGTCCAATCTCAGAGGCCTCGACTTGGCCCGAGATACGCCACATCTATCATGTCGGCTAAAGCTGAGCATGTAAGCCACTCTGTGTCCGAATCTCCTGCAGACCACGAGCTGGATCGATCCCCTAGTCAGAGGGCAGAGTACTTAAAGAGGATCATTGCTCGACAAGCTGTTTCGAAGTTGCAAGAATCACAAGCAGCCAGAAAGGCAAGGGAGGTGCCAAGGGCGACGCAAATAATGGACGCAGGCGGGCAAGATCGCGCTCTTGCCAAGGAGGACGAGATCCGAGGATCCGCCAACACCATGACTGATTTCTCCCCAGGCGCTCGATCAATCGTTATAGGTATGAGTGTCCCTGAGCATGAGTTAGCTGCCCACCGATCTGCCGACGTAGCAAGCAATGCCTGTTCTGCCAAGACGCCCGAGACACCTGCAATTGTTGTCACTCCAGCCGAGGAAACAGATTTATGGAAACCATCTTTCTTTGGTAGAACACGGACAGTACCGAGCACGTATTCTCCACACACACGGAGTGAGATACAGATTCGGCACGTTGATTTGCCCCCGGTGCCAAAAATCCCTTTCAGGCATGAGCAACACGATACATCAGGTCAAACAACGGCAGGGGCAAACATTATTCGATCCACTCAGGGACCTAGCCCAAAGAATGTGGGTAATTATGACAGCGAGGACGAACAAGGCCGTCAGTCCTTGGAGGAGGTGTCGAGATTGTCATCTGACAGCAAAGAACGGATACTCCCATCAGACATTGAAAACAGACGGCACAAATCACAGGGTTGGTGGAACCTTATGCTCTCGCCCATCCTTTCGAGGAAAGGGACAATAGTGGAGAAAGTCACCAACAATAGTCTGGAGACACCTCCAGTTCCTTGGGTACCAGCTGATGTACGACTTTCCAAGAGTGATATCATTTCTCCACTCACCTCCGAATCTCCAGAAACACCTCGGCGGCTTGGACTGGCAAGTGCGAGGGCAAGCATTTGGTCTAGATGGACAACATGGGAAAGAGAAAGGGACGGCAACACGCAATCCCATCCAGCCAATGCAAGCCCTCCTGATATTGACCCAACTCCAGCACTGCCTGCCGTCGACTTCACCAAAGGACTTGCAGCAGAATATTATCATGCATGTGCTATCGAACAGTTGAGCGGTGTTCCCTATTTCGAGTGCCAAAACCATTCCTGCGCCGAGAAGTTGCCAAAACTACTGTCTGTCTTCGACAAAGAAATCGTCGTCAAGCCCTTAGAGGATGTTCACGCCCCCAGGCAGGCAGAGGATAATACTGAGGATGACGCTCGTGCTCCCAGCAATGAAAAGCGGGAGTTATGGCGTGGCGTCTCCATCCGTTTGGAGCCTGAAGAATTGTCACCAAATGTCAGAAAAGCAGAAACGGCAGCGGTCGTCAAGGCAAGGTCCGTAGAGAGTCCAGAGCTCACGCAAGCAGAAAAGTCACAGCAGGGACCAGATCCTCCAATGACACACGCGGTTGAAAGCTCAGGGGCACGAGACCCCTTAGTCCCGGACGTGGAACTGCCCAGTCGTGAAGCTCGGCATCCCAATATTGCTTCTGTTGCGGATCAGCCGCCAGTCTTGTCACCGGGACCTGTCTCTCCAGCGATGCAACACACAATGGCATCTCAGGGCGCCGTTCCCATGACGCAGATTGACTATCCACAAAGTCACTTGCGTTTGCTGGAGCAAACAATGCCATCGGATCAACAGCAAGCGATGGCGCCAACGCAGCCACTGCCAATCACAATACATAACCACACTTTTTACAGCGATAGATTCGCAAACGGAAATAGCACTATTGGAGAGGCGAGAAGAGAGGCCATGGAACGACTCGAGTCTACCGCCTCCGTCCAAGCAGTCGGCCAAAAGCAGGAGTTGCCAAGATCAGAACCGTCAGAAGCCAAAGAGCCTGAAGCTGCGAAAAATCCAGAAGCCACAAAAAATGAAGGTCTAACATCAAAACTGAAAGGACTTCTTCGTCGAAGGAAGGAAATTGACAAGGATGATGCCGACAAGAAGAAGACGCGCCGTTGGACAGTTATCATTGGCATTATCTTATGCTTTGTGGTTCTAGCGTCTGTTCTCTTCGCCACCCTCCTCACAAGAACAGGCGACGGCACTCCCGTGCAGAGCCAGTGGCTGAATCTTACTGGCTACCCTCCAATTCCCACGGGCATATCTACCATTGCCAGACCAGATGTCGTCAAGCAGCAGTCGCAATGCGTAGGACCCAACACGATGTGGAGCTGTGCTTTGTCCAAGGAGGAGCAGTTCGAAGTCGCCCCAAACTCCCCAGACCAGCCGAATTTTCGATTCGAGATTACATTTCGAAACGGCACTGTGCCAGCAAACATGACGGTCCCCCTACACGAGCTTCGGAGGAGGTCCGTAGCGGATCTTCAGACGCGTGCAGATGACCCATTTACAAACGATCTCTTTAATCCAAACCCGACACCACCAAGTCGGGCGGACCAAATATTTATGGGTAACACAACCGACAATATCACTCAGCCGTTTGAGGGAGAACAGACTCCTTTCTATATCACATTCATCCCAGTGTTTCCTATTGACCCTGCAAATGCCACTGCCACGACATCCAGCTCGACGAGCTCGAGACTTCGGAGGCGTCAGTCGTCGAATTCGTCAGATATCATCCCAGCTCCCGACGTCCTCAGCGATGGAAGCGCAGCGCCTGCCAATCTCCTCCCCAGTGATCCATATCCATCCTCACAACCCATCAAGCTGTACAACAGAGGTCAAGCGGACGAACACTTCGGCTTTTACATCTACTACGACAAGGCGATTTTCCTACATTCGACGGCGGCTTTGAATACCTCGGAACTCGCAGATAACGGTGGGATTGACCCCGAGGACGAGAACGGAGGATCCACTCGCGACCAGTCTCGATTGCGATGCACATTCAGCCAGACGAGATTCCTGGTCCGGATGTGGACGAACCCAGCCTTTGGCGGGACGCTGCTGGCTTCGGTGCCCAATGTGACCAACAAGACCAACTCAGGGAGCAGCAATTCGGCGACCGATTTCAGCCGACCAGGCTCGTTCCTTTATCCGACGACAATCAGCATCGACCGACACGGCGGCAATATTAACAAGAAAGCGGTGTATTGCTACGGAGTCGATCAACTACAGGTTATCCAGTCCGATGTCAAGACGATTGTGCCTGAGTCTAGAAGTGTTGGAGGGACGTTGATTAATGCGGCGCCCAGCCTCGTGAACGGCACCGTTGGCGACGACACTGGATTCAATCAGGAGGCGGGCGGGATCGATGGGGGGACGGGTGGGTGTGAGTGTGTTTGGCAGAACTGGAACTAATTGACTGATTGATTGACAGCGGGGAGCTCGGGAAGGGAGATCTAGCTGTTGTCACACTCGCATAAAACTGGAGCTCCTGGAAAACGCAGGTATGACATTGGCGATAGACTTACAAAACAACAGGATGTGAGGCAGGCCTCTCCGGAGAAAGCGATCTAGAAGAAATATTAATAGAAACTAATTACGTGCCTGATGCAAGGCTGAGATGGCATTTCAGGTTAAATGGAACTCTGGAGTCTGGCTCTCGAATTGCTATTCGCCGTGCCTTTTGGACGCAGTGCTCATGGAGGTGAGACACGCCGAATGGTCATGTGATTTCTCTACCAAGTGACGTATTTGCCATGTATTTACTATAGAGGGTTTGCAACGATTACGCAAGGCGTGACATGTGTTGCATGGGAATGATGTTGAATCTAGATGTTGCCCCTGCAGATGTTCGTGTCACCACTATCAAAACTTGATTCTTCAGAAATTGCACTGCCAGCATTGTCCTTCCTTCTTCTTTCCTGGTTACTGCTACTGAGACTAGCAGGACGGCTTCTGAGTTCTCACCTACAGCGGGTTGCCATCGTTCGCCACGAAGCACAAGGGTCGTCACAAGTAAGGAGATTCGGGAATCCCTCCACTACCACTGGTAGCACTGACATGCCAGGCTCTAGGCAAAAGAGACTGGGTGACTGGCTCCAGACCACGAAGTCCACCGAGAATGGCTCAGTGGCGTGGTCCATAAGGTCGACCAGAACCCGAAAGAACTCCATCCGGTGCTGGTTCAATTCAAGGAATTGATCGAAAACAACACCCGAGTGTACATGCTCTTTGAGTCCATGTTTGAGCAAGTCCCCAACAAGGAGCCCTACAACAACGATCCGCGGGGACAAGGCCATCCCCAAGTCCGCGACTACGTTCACATGATTCATGTCATCAACCACATTTTGACCTCCCCGCCGTCCTGGTCCGAGGGCTCGGCTCGCGTTGGGCTGGTCGGTCTTCCATTTAACGCGCTATTTGACTGGCCCATGGGAACAGCCTCGGGATATGCAATGTTTCTTGATCCGGACGTTAACAAGATGCTGAAGAAGGTCCTCAATGCTTGGGGGGATTTCCTCTGCTCCCCAGAGTCGGCCAGGGTTTTGGAGACGGACGCGCGAGGAAGTTGGTTTAGTCCGCATGGCCAGCAGGAGCTCACCGTGACGGCGAATGTGGGAAAGACAAGCTACAAATTCGAGGAATTGTTCCAGTGCGAACCATCAGCACCACACATGGGCTACAAGTTATGGGTTGATTTCTTCACCCGATTGTTCAAGGAGGGTGCTCGGCCAGTTGCTAGTCCGTAGGACGACAATGTGATTACAAACGCGTGCAAATCAAAGACCTTCAAGGTGGCGCGCAACGTCAAGGCCCGAGACCATTTCTGGCTGAAGGGACAGCCATATTCGGTCATCAACATGTTAGCACAGGATGCCTGGACGGAGCAATTTGTTGGTGGCACGGTATACCAGGCGTTCCTCAGCGCATTGAGCTATCATCGGTGGCATGCGCCGGTGTCTGGTAAATTGGTCAAAGCATACCTGGTCGTAGGAACATACTACTCAGAACCTTTGTTCGAAGACTTCCAAGTCGACACGTCGGCGGACCCCGAAGGGGAAGTGACCAGTCAAGGCTATTTGACAGCCACAGCCACACGGGCAATCATGTTTTTTGAAGCGGACAATCCGGCTATTGGGCTCATGGCATTCCTGGGGATTGGCATGTGCGAAGTGTCGACTTGCGAAATGACGGTCAGGGAGGGACAGCACGTCAGCAAGGGCGATGAGATTGGCATGTTCCATTTCGGAGGCTCGACTCATTGTTTAATGTTTCGGAAGGGCGGCGATGTTGAAGGGTTTCCGGAGCCACATCCCGAGCACAACATTGCGGTGCGAAATGAACTGGCAAGGGTGAAGGCGAAGTCGACATCGACATGAAGAACAACGATGTCTTAATCCTCTAGTCATGACAGCTGTTTTGGCCGTACTGGGATAGTCTGGACCTGCATATCCAACCATGTTGTCATAATAGCCCTCAATGCCACAAATGACGTGGTCCATCTGGGGCAATCGTGTCTAGTCCGTACGCGAGAAGCATACAAGGGCGTGCAGTCGACGCAATTGCGGCTCTCACTTTTCTAAACGCATACACTTGAATTTGACTTGTACGGAAAAAGTCATTCTTGAGCTTTGCGTCTACTAGAAGTGGTATACAACTAGATTTTCTGTCCCAGAAGTCGACATCATCAATTTTGTACACATATCCATCAACCCAGTCCAGGACCAATAATCCCCTTTCGTTGCGCAACTTACGAGGAGTCATTCCCTCCAGGCTAAAAAGGGGTGTCATACCACTCGACCCGTGTGATGCTTGGGTTATCGCAATGATGCCGATGATATGGTCATAGGAAGTGTTGTACGCCTTCAATGTGTACCAGTCATTGATCTCGTCGTGAAGCGAATTTTCCGAAACCCTTCTCGCACTTGACTTGGGGGTTGCAGTGGCTGCCGTCGGGCACCCGGCCGGGAGACTTGTTCCCGGAGTTAGCTGGATTACCCTGGTTGGTATCCTTCTTCTCTCCCCTGGTGTTAACGGTAACGGACGACTCATTTGTCTCTGGCGACACCTTGTTGTCGTTGGGTTTACCGGCTTTGTGTGCTTTCCCCAAGGCACTGATCTAGTCCTCCCAAACCAGATGGGCTTCGCTGGAGCCAGATGTTTGTTGTTGGTCAGTCATATTGGTTGACGAATGGTGGGGCCAGATATAAAGCCTAGTGGTGGCCACTGGAAGGCAGATGTCTTGAAGATCAAGGAATCTTTGAGGTTGTGCTAGGTGACGAGAGAACTAGTACACCAGAGCTAAAAATAGGAGAAACAAAGATGTTATATAGATGTTATTGGATATACCTTTCGATATCAAGTGGGAGCACATTCCTCTACTCTTGGACATAATCCATCATGTGCTTCCGCTGCAGACAGTTTCAAGATGTTTCAACCTTTGGCGTGCATTAGACCTATTTTAGAGGTCAACATTCTCTTCAGATCGATTGGGATCGAAGTGCGGAGGATTGTTAGTCCTGACGCTCTATTCAAGTCCCAGGTCGTGTAGCTGGGGTGTAGCCAGAGTAGCCTCGAGCTCGAGAACCTGTTATTCGCCGACCGTAGATCTCGATTTTGGCATGCACTCAACCGTGTCCAGGACAACACGGATGCTTGCTGTGCTTGTGAATGTCACCGTGGCTGATGAGCGCGGGCTGGGATACTGTTGACAGGGTCGCGGGAGCGCCACTGTGGCAAACCACCTGAGACACTAGGCGTTACATCAACTGCGCAAACTGCCTCAACCTTGTTGTTCTTGCAGACCTGTGATAGGATGGCGACGGAATAGGAGGTTTCAGGAATGCTCTTATTGTTACAGGCCAATGTATATATAAACAGGCAGAGTCTCTCTGAATAGCCAGGGGGACAGAACACAATCAACCAGACAGATCCACAACTGTTCTGCGTTCAACAGATACAAATACGAGGCTCCAGATCCCCACCTCTGTCAACGGTGCAATGTCGTGGCTTAGGCTGAGAGCTCTTCTCTGTGAGATTCTCGCCCCACGTGAGCAGGCAAGCCGCGCATAGAAGCTTAAATTCCGTTAGCGTGGAGGAGTCCCATGTTTACAGATATGGACAAGGGTGAAGAATCGTAGAAATTAGGATAAGTACTAGTAGTGATGTGCATAATAGCTGTAAAGCTACCTAATTAGGCAAGGCGCCCTTCGCTCGTGTTTATATTCGAACTAAGCTTCAGCCTAACCATGTATACTCACGCGTTAAAGGGAGCATCTGATGCCAGCTGTTATAGCTGAGCATATACTTCGCAGCCAGCCCCAATACTTCTCAAGTTTGCACATCCTCTCAATCCAGCATGGGCGCCGGCTTGAGACGCCGACACCAGACCTGAAGCGATCCACGAGGAGACCTCAACGATAACGCGTGATTGCCAATACACTGCAATTGGCCCCCGGCGTGATGCTGCAGACCTTGATGACAATTCATTCCTAAATTCTGCAAAGGCAGTGTCAGGACTCTGCTCTTCGTGAGGAGGGAAAGACATAATCTCTCCACGGCCCAGAACCCGAACTGAGATGATAGCCAAAAGTGCATGGAATCTAGGCACAATCGTGCGAAGTGAGGATTGGACCAACAATGCAGCCCATGTTCACAACAGACTATGTACCTCGTCGTGGAAGCCACGCCGTCCTCAATCAGTCTGATGCATGGGTGACGCCCTCGAAGCTGCAGCCGAAACTTGAGCTTCGGCTTGCTCGGCATGCCTCGCAGGGACTGGAATATTAAATCGCCTAGCCACGGAAGCGCAGCATTGTGATTTTGTCAGTCTTTCTACCCTTTCGGACCATCGGCATAGATTTACCTCAACCGACGGGCTGGCATAGACGAGAGCTCTTTGACGAACGGGACAAGAGCCATGGCTCCAAGATGTATTTTAATCTGCAGGAATTGAGCCCGATCAACCTTCGAGCCTACACTACGTATGGATCCTACGTTCCCGAATCGTTCTACAATTAGCTGTATCCGACAGCACAACTGAATCACGGCTATTGGGGAATGTGCGCGGCAAACGCTTCTGCAGCCGCATTCATCTACGAATGGAATCGTCAAGGTCTTCCTGCCTCTGAGCCTTCGGGGCTCTTCATCTGATTCGACGCTCGACAGTTGGCTTTCGCAAAGTCCGATTAGGCCCTGGAATGACCCGGCAAGCAAAGATCCGAACAACCAAGACTCATTGGTCAGGGTCATTGGTCAGCCTCGTTTTCAAAAGCCTCCGTCCATGGGGTTCTGTACGGAACTCATTGGGCTTACGAAGATGCAAAATTTGCGAGACAACCCGGCGACGATCTCGTCCGTGCAGCCGCCGAAAATCATTCTGTGCATTATTTGAGACTAGACCCCGACAAACCTGATGCAGTCGAAAAGCACAAGACAGAAGCGGGGAAGGATATCATCGGAGCAATGACGCTCCTCCGTCTCCGCCAGTGCCTCGCAGATTGGGCATCCCGTAGTCTTCGGCTTTCGGTTCTACTGGCCAACTCCCCGTTTCCAGGAAGACAACGCCTCGAGTTTCTGGGCGTTGGTTTCCTTGCCGAGCAGAAGATGTCCAGCGGTCAAGAGGGGAAGCAACACGGTGCTTGCATCCCGGTTCGACGACGACACGACTTGAAATCCTGGGCCCTCTCTGACTCCGTCACGGGCACGCCGTTGTTCTGGATCGAGTACGAGTGGATCAGAGTCTTCGAGGCCACTAGCGTCTTCTGGATGACGAGACTTGTTGAGAGGAAGGAGGGGCAGAAGCCGTAGCGCTCAGTATCCCCAACCTAGAGTATCATAGAGTGTCGGACGTTGAACGGCGCAGAGCCACTACCGACCGAGAAGGTAGTTTTGGTACCACTTTGGGATGAGCATGGACATAAATGTGCGTATAAGTGTACGTTTGCGTCCATCTCTACAACCATGTTACTAGCGCCCAGGCTATAATTGACATGTATTCCGGATGTACGAGTAGAGTAGACACTGCGCCCAATGTGGCCGAAGAATGCTTGATACTGATGAAGTGACGGCTGCGTTAAATATACTTAACGGCGCGGATTCAGGGCGGAGCATCACTATCCCAAAGGGTACGTGGAATGCCAATTATAAATGAAGGTCATGTTCCATTTGATTGACTCTCCAGAAAGTCACTGCGCAGTTTTATCCCTACCACCTTCCCAGATCCTGTTGGTGAGAAAAGGAGAATAGCTTCCCACCAACAGGTATAGTTGGTGACGGCTAATCTCATCGCATCCTCGCGCTGGGACTCTGTGCCCCTGTACAACTACTGTACAAGCCAACAACACCATTGCTAAGCAGAGCCCCTGCCGGCCACGTCACGATTGAGCTTTGATAATGCCTCCTTCATCCCGTCGAGAAACGAGAGAAAAGGATGCCTCAGGTCAGGGATGGAAAAAACAACATTGCATCGATCGAGGATATTGTGAGTAGATACTCTCAACCTTAAAAGCCAGGGTCCATTTATGACAGGAAGCACCTGTTCCTGGGGCTGACAATCTCGAATGATGGGATGAGTACGTTGATACCGTTCGCATGAAGTTGGAGGGTTGTAATACCAGGCATGTTCATCTCGCTCGGCACATGAAAATTCTTGTTCGACTTCGAGTTCCACTGAGGGTGTGCGAGTCGGGGATGGTTGAGGTTCCTGGAAATAGCAGATAATCGCTGATGCCAATAGTTTCATTATGGGCAATTTTATTATAGAGTTTGGTGCCGATCTCGGTCGAACAAGCTTGCTTCTAAGCCTTATTGTGCTGCGGCTCACACCCACCTCGCTTCATCACAAGCCCACCGTTCAGAATCTCGGATCGCAAAGAACTTTTTGGTAACAGGGGGAGACGGGCGGAAGACAAGTCGACCGGTGGGGGGAGAAAGAGGGAGAAGGTCGGTCGGTCGGTGGTTCACAAGAAGGGGAAACATGTGCCCAGCTCGCCGGTCAGGACAGCGATTCGATCACATGGCAGGCAGGCACACGTCGGCAAGTTCTGTCGTGCCCCTGATAGGACTCACTTTTTTGTAACGGGCTTACTCGGTAGGCCAGAGCGGGCGACCTGGATACAACGACGTTCGAGACTAGGGTGCAGCCGAGCCCATCCAATCCCAGCTCAACGTGAGGGAGCACTCCCGTTGCATAGTATAGGGTACGTTGACGCGAGTTCGAGAGTGAAGACGCCGGAACAAGGAGGTCGATGTACTTGTTATATCATTGCAGGTTTCACCAGGTCGCAGCTTGGAGATCACGTGCAAGTGAAAAAAAGGCCAGGCACGTGCGTATTTTTCGACGTCAGTGTTTAGCAGCACGGACTTCGTCGTTAATTTACGTCATCGGCGGCGATGCGTTTCGGCTCAAAGAATAGGTACCGAGTACGAGGTGCTAAGTAATACCTCGTCCCCGTACTACTGTAATTCGCTCCTAGCCACGGAGTCGTCCGTACCTCGTATTAATCCCGCAATTCCGATCTGTCGCCGCTTTACGAGGTACCGAGTACGCAGCTGCTCTTCTACATTTACCCCAGGAATTCCTTCGCCATCTTAAGCCACGGCCGTGCCCCATTGGTCGGCAGGCAGCCCCTTTCCAGAGTTTCCATGACTACAACTAACTCTCTCTGCCAGTCGCCGTATTTCTCTCATGTAATCCTTGACAACACCCTTTGTCGTCGGCTGCAAAAGTTTGTGACATTGCATGCGGAACGGAGTGCCGTCACGTCACGAAGGGGGGAGGTGGAAAGAGACGTTGCTCGATCCCTCTCCCTGTCTCCCGCTGGCGTCAAGTCGTCGCCATCTGTCACCAACCCTTCTTCTCCTCGGGGCTGACATGACCTACCTTCTGGAACGTCTCGAGTCCTTTTCAACCCGGTATGTCGGCGCCATCTCTGGATCTGACTTGTTCGCTTCCTCGCTGCTTTTTCAAAACCCTGGTTCCATCATTTACCCGACTCGCTGGAATTTCGGCACTCAGAGTTGTTTTCATTTTCTGGGATATATCTATATGTCAAGTCTTTTGTTGCCTCCTGGTCTCCCACACCGGCAAAGGTCTATGTGCCCCTTTGAGGAAGTAGCGAGAACTCGACCAGCGTGAGAGATCAGTGTCAGACCAGCCATGCCTCAACACCAGACAGCCAAAGACATAGTCAAGTCTCAGCCTGCAAAAGCTGCGCCCAAAGGCTCGAAGCCCATACCACCTTTCGACATCGACAACTACCTTAATCCTTTTGTCCCTCGCAATCCCCTGCGATTCTTGCCTCCCTGGATTTCATACTGGTTCGGCCATCGCTCTCCATCATCCACTGTCGCACACCACCCCTGTCTTTGTTTCCTTCCCAATTCATGCCTTGAATTCTTCCATCCTCCAGAATGGTTCTTCATCTACCACCTCCACACATTCTTCCTGTACCTCTCAATTCTAGTCGGTGCCTTCTGCGGTGTCGCCATCATCGAAAATGTCTTCCTTGCCCTTCCCCGGTTATCGGGCCACACTGTCCCCATCGTCATTGCCTCATTCGGCGCCGCGGCCATATTGGAGTACAATACTATTGAATCACCACTGGCCCAGCCCCGGAACCTAGTTTTGGGACACTTCGTATCAGCCGTCATCGGGGTGGGAATCACCAAGTTATTTTTGTTGTTGCCGCCGAACCGATTCGAAGATCTGAGATGGCTCGCTGGCGCACTCTCGGTCGGGTGCGCATCCGTCGCAATGAGTTTCACAAAGACCATTCACCCACCCGCCGGCGCCACTGCGCTGCTGGCTGCGACAAACGTGGAGATCCAAGACCTGGGGTGGTGGTTGTTGCCCCTCGTGCTACTGGCTGCCATGTTGATGCTGGCCAGTGCGCTTGTGGTGAACAATTTCTCTGGGAGACGGTATCCGGTTTACTGGTGGACGCCAGTGGATCTGAAAACCCTCAGAGAAGAGAGAAGGAAGGAATGGATGGCGAGGAAACTGAAGAACGGGGAGATTGAAGGTGACGTCGAGAAGGGCGGTGAGCTCGAGTTGCCGGCCGCAAAGGAGGATGTGGAGGATCTTTCCGAGACCACAACCGAGACCGGTGGCGGCGACAACGACAGCGACGACGCAGGTCCAGCGGGAAGAAGAAACCTTAGTCGCGCCGTGACGTATTCGTCAATTGACAGGGTTCCCCGACCCATGGCCGAGAGAGAGCGATCCAAGTCGGCGGCGAGCAAGAAATCCGCCACAGAGAGAGAGTTAGGCGAACAGGTCGTCGAGGGTGAAAGCATCCTTATCTCGAGGGATCGCATGGTCGTGCCCGAGTGGCTCGACCTGAGCGACTGGGAGGACGAGGTGCTCCGGATCCTGATGGTGCGGATGCAGGAGCATTCTTCTTCTCATCTTCGGCCTGAAATTGATCGGATCAGGACGAATCGATTCAACCTGCCCTGAGAATTCTCATGGTGGAATTTGACATCGCATTGGTATCCATCATCATCTTCATCTTCATCGCCATCGCCATCGTCATCACCATCATCATGTGTCTTTATATGAGGGTCGGGCCGGGAAAAGTTCCCCATGATACTTGCAGTTTTTGCGCATACTCTTTGCATACATACTATATAGCAGAGCCTTCTCGTTTTATAGATTTGGGCAGGTTGGGTGGGCGGACCATTTCTGAAGAGACTAGAGTGAGAGGCAGATAACTACATATATATAGAGAAATGTAATATACGGCGGCGGTGATACAAGCAGACAGACATTGCCAGCTGCCAGCTTCGTAGTTGACGCCCTGTCCCTGAAGGGAGAGGACAGATATTCGAAATAAAGGGTCTGATTTCCAATCTAGCTTGCTACAGCTATCATAGCCATGGCACGGTCTGACTGGATGCTAGTCATCTGAATCCATGGCACATGCGGCTTATCAGGCACGAGTTTCTTCCCTCTCTCCATCGTGCAATGTATTGCCCGTTTCCGAGTGACTGCTCTCCCGCCTATAGAAGTGCCATCACAACGTATCCTACTTCTTTTCTTGTTTACTCCCGAAAAGATCCTTCGCCACCAAGGCCCTGCAAATCGGATGGTAAAAGTCTTTGTTCTTCTCAAACGTCTCCACCGCCAGCTGATAATCCATCTTCATCAATCCTTTGTACAACGGCCGGACAAACTTCATCCGACCCACCTCGCCCAGGAGCTTCGTGACGAATCCTTTGATCGTCCAGTCTCCGGCCTTCATCGCAACTTGGTAGTACCGCGCCGATATCTCGACATTTCTTGTCTCCTTCAGGTCGTAGATGAAGCCCATGTAGTTGACGTGCGGCTGGGGCAACTTGTCCGCAAACGTGAGCAATTTCTCGAGAAACACAACAATTTGATTCGACGACCAGCCATCAATGTCGAATTTGTTTGGTCCAAAGTCCGGATTGGGATTCGTGGTGAATTTCTCCCACTGATCGGCGAGGCGGTAACATTGATCAACGAGCGATGTGTCAAAGTCAGGTTTGGGCGGGAAGCCTGGCTTGTAGAACCAAGTATCCCAGTCGATGGTGGCTAGCTTTTGCGAAACGGTGTCGTTGGGTTTGAAGAAATCGAGCAGTGTCTGCTTAAAGTCGTAGCTATCGAGTGACTTGCCCCGCCAAGTCTCAAAGTAGTGAGGGATAAATTTATCAAATTGCTCCTTTGAGATCAGTTTCTCAATGTAGTACAGGAAGATGAACCCCTTTTCATAAGGAACGCTTGAGAACGCGTCGTCTGGATCCTTGCCCTTCAGGTCGACAACGAGCTTCGTGAACTCATGTTG